AGGGATATTGATCTCAAAGAGGTTCTTTCTTATGAGCTTTGCAGTGTACCAGTCACACTTGTACATCCTGATGGCAGCCTCAGGAAGACGACAAAAAGCATCCTAGTGCATGTCCTTGAAAACAATGTTACGTGTAGATCAAGCCTGCCTTCTTCACAGCACCCTACAGCATGTCTAATTGATGCGATGGCTCTCATTCAGATGGTTAAATCAGCAAGGTCTGCAACATTTGGTCAGTTATCGCAGAAATACCAGGACATTGTCACTAGTAAATTCCATCAGGACAGCCACACCAGAGTAGACCTGATTTTCGACTAATATAGGCCTGTCTCAATTAAGGCAGGGGAACGCAGCAAGAGAGGAGAATCAAGCTCGTTTGAAATCAACATCCACAGTGGATCCACGCCAGTACCGAAGGAGTGGTCAAATTTATCTCAAACCCAAAGAACAAACAAAACTTAGCCGCCTTTCTCTGTGAGTCGTTTAAAAAAGAACTCACTGGCATATTTAGGCCCTCAGAAAAAGGTCGTCCTAGGTGGAGGATTCAAGGATGGATTAAAAGCAGTTTGTCTAACTCGTGGTTCCGCAGTTGCTGAGCCAAATCTACATTCGGGTCATGAAGAGGCAGATACACGACTTCTACTTCATGCCAAACACGCTGCAACCTCTCATCCACGCATTGTGATACAATCACCAGACACTGATGCTGCCGTGCTTTTGATAGCACATTTTTCATATTTAAAATGCCAGGAACTGTGGTTAAAAACGGGCGTCAAAGACAGACTGAGATACCTACCAGTCCATGAGATTCAGGCTTTCCTGGGGGAATCTCTTTGTAGATGTCTTCCATCGTTCCATGCACTGACTGGTTGCGACTCAACAAGTGCCTTCTCTGGAATAGGGAAAAAGAAGGCGTGGAAGATACTGATGACGAAAGAACAGATGCAACGTGATCTCTGTACTCTAGGACAGAATCCTGCCATACAGGAGCCTATGCAGAAGGCTGCTGAGTCTTTTATCTGCTCCCTTTACACTTCTGCAAAGAACTT